GCCGTTTGAGCTTCTCTTGCAATATTATTATAGAACCTTCTCTTGTCTCTTCTTGCCATCTTCTTGATTTTTCTACACGTTTCTCTGTGCAAGTTTCTTAATTCAGCCCCATTGTTTGTTAGTAACTGCTGCCTTGTATTGCGTCTTTGTTCTATGGCAGCCCACGTTTCGTCAGATATCCATTCTTTTCTTTCCGGTGTAAAGGAACCCAGAACTTCTTCACCAGCTTGTCGGTAGATAAGCTGAATTTGGTCTTGCGTTATATTCTGTGCCATGCCAAGCCCCCGTTGTATATGTGATACAAATTCTTCCTTTATATCATTTGATTTCAGCTTCTGGGTACAGAGTCGCCTTCTTCTTATGGGTTCTGACGAATTTACGGCTGCAATTTTGATTCTTATGTCAGCAGTTACGAGCATATGATCACTCTGGGCGTCTGCTACTCTTCGAGTTCTTACATCTAAGATTGATTTTACCCATCTTCTGTTAATGCATATGTGATCTATCTGATTTCTTGTTGTGGAATCAGGGGAAACCCAGGTGTATTTGTGTATAGTCTTATGTGGGAATATTGTACCGCCTATTACTAAGTCATGCTGTTCACATGTTCCTTTTAGTCTTTCTCCATTGTTGTTTCTAGCTCCAATCCCATGCGCTCCTATTGTTGGCCATGACTTCCTATCACCAACTTTCGCATTAAAGTCACCCATTAGTATTAATATGTCAGATTTGGGGATGCTGGTTAGTGTTGTTATTAATTGCTCATAGAATTCGTCTTTAGATTCCTCCGTTGAGGTTTCAGTAGGAGCATAACACTGGACTATGGTTATTTTCGTTATTCTAGAGTGGAATCGGGCCGTTATGATTCTGTTTGAGATTGGCTTCCATGATAGTAGGGCTTTCTTAAATGTTCTGTCTACAATTATTCCCATTAGCCTTTCTTAGCAAGTTTTTAATATCTCAGCAGTAATGAGATCAAAACCTTTGGCCTTATTCGGTTTAAGCGACTTTATCGCTTGACAAATTTCTTTTTCATTAAACAAAGCCATAGTGCTTTCATCCATATTCAAATCTTCTGGAAAAAAAATATTAGAATTTAGTCAATTTGGTTGAAAAATTCCTTCCAAGTGATCGCCGAACAGTTAATCCTTATCCCTCTTGCTTTTTCTACCAATTAAATAATTTTACCAATAATTCGTTTCTCTAGTTGCCGATAAGTCCTTCATATAATTCCCGTATGATATTGATTTAAAATTTTCCATTTCTCCTTTTAGTTTCTTTTGAGGCGATTCTTGCCATTTACGTCTAGTATTTTTAACTACGAAGAGTTCATTATTGAAGTATTTGCTTTAGACTTGCCCTATAACTAAATTTGGTATAGATTTCCATTCACAAATCAGTAAAATCTGTCAAAAAAAAAAAATAAATTTAAATTTTTAATGTCGTATCAGGAAGAATGTCGCAAGCCGAATAGAAATGGTCCAAATTTACATCATGTCGTCGTATTAGAAGATGTTGTATCTCGAGGACTTAGTGTACATCGATATTTGTAGCTCTGAGAAAAACCTCCAATTCGTATTTTATTTCAAATAACTCAACTTCGTATTTTATTTACTGACAGTTTTCAGAAATCGGTTTGGGATTGCTAAATACATCTTAGTTTATCTATTCTCCATAGTAATAAGTCTCATTGAGATTTATTTGTAGTACGTATTGCAAGATTTGCATTATGCTACCGTCAATTTCTTTAAGTTTTTGCATTGTGTTATTGTCCGTTTCTCTTTTATTCATGCTCTTCTTAGCTCTTTTATCTGTATAATTTTCTGCCACTTTGGAAGCTTCTTGGGAGCATGTAACACATTTTTTTACCTTATTTGATGTAAAAGCATTAATCGTTTTCATGATCAGGACCCGTTTAGGCCGATTCGTTTTCATTTTCCTTTTTTGTAATTCCTTAGCGACTAAACAGTCTCAGTAATTAACAGCGTGTGCCTACAGTTTGCGCCTAAAAATTATCTGGCCTAAAAATTATCTTTCATATTACACTCTGCCGTCAGATGATAGCCAGCACATTTAACACTTTTATCTAATGTTTGGCAAAACCTTTATTCTCATATGCTGATGATTTTCTTTTTATATATTTTATTTATCTCTTAGGTTTGACCGAATGACAACATAAAAACGAGTAACTTTTTAATAGTATTTACACCATTGAATTCCCATCATTTACGCATTTGAATTTCCTTTGGATAAGTTCACATTTAATATCCTGTGGCTCACATGATGGATGTAGGTTTCTGAACATTTTAATTGGCTTCATCAATAAGTATGCCATCCAATTTGGCCTTACTAACAGCTTTAGTTAATTGTCTATGTTCATTTTCAACATTTATTTTTAGTTGATCGTTGTTCATCATGTTTAGCTTCACGTTAATAATTTCCTCTTTAAGGATCCTTACTAGCTGCGTGTTTTAAGTGTTTATTTTAAGTTGAGCATTCTTCTTTGGTGGAGATTTCTTCAACTTGGTGGTATTGACTTTTAGTGCCGCTCCCATTTCTGATGAACTCTTGGCTTTTCTCTTCTTTGAGTTTCTTTTGGCTTTAAGAATCTAATTGATTTTATCATTCCATTTCTGGTGAACTCTTGGCTTTTCTCTTTTTTGAGTTTCTTTTGGCTTCAAGAATCCAATCGATTTCTCTAGCCAACTCTTTCTCATCTGTTTCATACCCGATAACACCTATTTTGTCTTTCTCGGTTTCATTTAAAATTGGATTCGGTTGTCCTAATAATTTTAAATTTTCTGCATTAAGTTTGCAGACCTCTTCTTTTAGCTCCTTTTACAGGTTCTCCAAGTCGCTAATACGTGAATCGACCATATGTCCCCTTTCCTGATGTAACGGACCCTTTACATTACTATCAGAGGCTTTAGTTTCGGTGTCTTCTTCAGACCTTCTTTCTATGTAACCCTCTATGGTTTTTCTTCTAACTTCATCCATAAGAGGAAACCTTGCAACCCTTGAGCTCTAACTGATCTTTTTATTCTATTAAACGACTTCTGTAAACTTCTTAAACATTCAATCAAGTCCTCGCCGACAGCCGTGGTCTCTTTGGTAGATATCCCTACCGCACTTATATTCTTATTATTGTATATTTCACATTTGCTTCTAACTTATATGGCTATTAACCCAACCAGGGTTTCCTCCACTGTCGTCCCTCTGGGATCAGTTGCAGACCAGGAACCCGTCCATTCTGGATCAGACGCGCTTGGATTTGGTCAGGATTTTAGTGGATTTTAGTCAGTTATTCGACTCACTCAGCAAACTTATTTTTTGCCTTTCTCGGAAACTATTAGAACTTTTTTTCCTTTCTCTTCTGTTTTGACATACGGCCTCACTATTAGAATTAATTTGTGTTACGTGTGAAAAATCAGACTTTTCTGTTTAATGGAGACCGTAGGTGGTGGTCATTAAAAACATTTCTCATTATTCAAATAAGGTGAAAAAAAAGATAAGCGATAAATTATTTTTTATGTAAGAAGTGAGATGGGTTTGGGCACGGCTTAGGCATGTGCCATCCGATTACTTTATTTAATGATGAATACGGGTTATTTCAATGATCAACATCCGTTACTGTTTACTTGCTGCTAAGAAATTCTAAATCAATTTGCATAGAATATCAATTTGCAAAAAAAAAATTGAAAAGTAAAGCTTATGCTCAAAAAATAGCTCAAATTAATTGTGCCACTTTTTGAGGCTTTTATAATTATTATTTTTTTAGCTTCTTTTGTTGTTTTATTACGGGATCGGGGAATGCATTTTTTAAATTAAATCGATAGGACCTGTGGCTCCCGAGATATCAGAACTTCTTTAATAAAAGCATATTGAAGTTCTTTAACAAAAACCTGTAATGCGTTTTTTGAATCATAATTATAATTTTAATGTGACGTTACGATGTTTCGACTAATTTTTACTTTTCCACATGGTATTACAAACATTAATAATTGACAGTACTTAAAATCAAAAAAAAAATTCAAAAATTCTGTCCATTTATACATAAATTCAATTCAAATTTAATAATGTTAAACTTAAATCAGTTAATTAATATTTAGTAATTTTATCACAATTTATTAAACGCACCTATGCAACAACAACACGTGAGTCAATTCTAATACGAATCTGTCACATTCTGGTTATCCCATTAACAATATACATAGCAAAAATAGTACTAGTTAATACTAAGTGCATGATGTGACACTAAGCAAGATTATATGGGAGTATTGAGTAACGAGTTTTCTTGATATACGAGGAACCAGTTACTTTGAATGATCTTCGTATTAAAATGACCAGTAGTATTCGCACATCACTAAAACGGTGTTAATACCGAAAAAAATTCCCAGAATATCCAAAAACTATAAAAATGGCAAGATTTTTGGTTTGGATGTAAGTTGTTAACGAAAACGTTACAATTGTTCATAATTTGTGCGTAAATAACAATTCTATGATCTAGTAAATAAATTTTTGCTGTAAATTTAAAAGAAAATTAGTTTAAAATGGTGTTTCGGTTCAATTTATTTCTATTGGATTAAAACGACAAATTCTATTCGTAAATTATGAAATGAAATTTTATTCTGATTGAGTATGCTAAAATCACCTAAGTACAGTCATGTGTTTCTTGTGATTGTAATTTGCGGTTGAAAATAAAAAATTTGAAAATAGTCAAAATTTCAAATTTTCTAGCAAAATTTATTCGACGGCGATTCAACGAACTAATTAATCCAGCTTTACATATTTTTGCTAATGTGTTTTATTCTTTCTTGGAAGCCCAGCTTTCATTTTTTAGTTAATTGAATCACAGAATAATAGATTGAATAGATGTATATTTATACAACCAATTTCATGCGATCAATTACTCAGTACTGTGCAAGTCGTTTTTATTTGTCAAACATTGTAAATATGTTGCTAACGTAATATGGTAATCGTACCTTAAAACTTTAGTTTCACCCGTGTTCGTGCTCTTTTACATATTACTCTACACGTGATTATTTATTATTGTGTTATTTTTAAATTTTGTGCCAAAACATCATTATTTAAAAGACAAGTATGTTTAGAATTTATTTTATTTAATTGTACATAAGCTAATATGTATTAAATTTGACTTTGACAAAAAAAACATTAAAATAGGTTTTTGAGATTAATATGAGATTTCTGCAATTTGTTTCTTTCAATTAGCTTCTTCAAAACAATTGTTGTCTTTGACTTGTGTTGTAGGAGACAGCACTTCCTTCTGCAAATCAATTTTTGAATAAAATAATATTAAATTATTATCTTTAAAAGAACGCAAACAAAATAATAATACCAAAATCTTCGATGCCATGCTGTAGAATTTTATTACTTTGAGACTACATTTCTATTAATATCTAAGTTTTGTAGGACTACGAGTTTGGAGATAGATCGTATGAGTAATGCTTAATGGGTGCAGTACGTAATTAATTTATGAACTCGAATAAATTTTGAGTAAGTGTAGCGTAGAAAATTTTACAAAATATTTTACTGCTAGTGTAAAAATCATTGTAAAACTAAGTGGCCGTATTATAAAAAAAAAAACATTTAAGTCGATCAGGCTCGAAAAACAAAATTTACGCATTTTTAACTTTATCTTAAACACGTTTTGATAATGAAAGAAGTGTAAAATTTATTCTTAGTAGTAGAGTTATTGTTAAGAAAATTGAGCACTTGAAACTTTCAAAATATTAGCAATTTGCCTAAAATAGATGTATGTATGTATATTACGGCTGGCAGAAATACAGGCCTGGACCCTATGAGAGAGTGATAGTTTAAAGTTGTCGAATTTACACGTATTCGTATGGGATCTATAAACGGCCCTTTTTAACATCATAAATCTCCCACAAGATCAACATTTTTCAAATTTTAAATTAGAAAAATTAAAATTCAATCTTTTTCTACATGAGTGCTTACATTCTTAAAGTTTTGTGTTATTAAAACATTAAAAAATTATTTAAAAAAAACCTTCCAGGATCCGTTCATTTTTTTAAGTTTTCAATAAATGCTATACTACAAGAAAAAAAAATAGTGCAATTTTTGTTTTCGAAGTATTTAGTTGATTTTAGTGCATTTTTTCAAATTTGAGAAAGTGTACATTTGATATTAACGAGTTTGTTAATTTTGTATGATATCCCAAAATGCATACTTCTGATGTAATCGCATATATATGTAGGTATCTATATATTTTTTATGTGTATATTAACTAAACTTATATGTATATGCTTCCTAATTCATAAAAATTACTGCATATGTGAATTCTTTTTTTTATTTAAAGTCCATATAATTCTTTTTAATATATTTTGTATTTAATCGTATTTATTTTTCAATCATCCCAAATCACCATGAACATTTCTAATTTATTCAAAAATACCTAATATAAAATATATTTAACAAAAAGTACGATGATCAATATTCAATACACCGTATGAGTATTGAAAATTGAATGGATTAGAATGTAAATTGTGCATTGTCAAGGCACATATCATATAAAGGTGGCTGTGATTCTAGACTAAAAAATAAAGCAGAAACTTTTTTTATTCAGTGTATTATAATTTTTTCCTCTCAATTCTCTCAGATATGTTGCATGACATGGCGGAACAAAAAAATTAGGAAAAATGTATTTAATTAAACTTATATTTAAAATTTTCAGTCGAAATTTGAATTTTTGATATGTTGTTCAGAAAACTCTAAATTTTCATTTTAATATAAAACATTTTTAGATTTTAGTCAACTTTTCGTATAGAAAACTCGAAATAAAAATAGGCAAAAATCATAATTTTTCCAAACAAAAAAAAAAAATGATTCTTTAGAAATGTCATTTCTCCAAAAATTCATATGCAATTTTACAAATACATTCACAAAAAAAGCAGAGTCCAGGCCTTGATTTTTTGTAGTCAAGATAAAAACTTAAAAAATATTTTTCTGCTTTGAAAATAAAAACTTATACAGTTAAAAGGGACTTTTTCATTTCGGCACAAAATAAACATAAAAACAATAAAAGCAAGATGTAAAAAAATTAATAGAAATTGAAATTGGATTTTAAAAAATATTTAAATAATTTTAGAAATGATGTTGATGAATATGATGAAAATGATGTTGATGAATATGATGAAAATCATGTTGATTATTTCGTTTTTAATTTATGTCCATTTAATTTTTTTGAGGATACTTCAAAAATTTTCAAAATAATTGCTTATATGTAGTTCCCTCCATTCGCCCTTCCGTGGTTCCGTGTGCAAAACTGAGAAATTTTAACAAAACCATTAACATTTCAATGCAAAAAAGTTTCGTCTGGCATTTTGTACAGCGGCGCAGCATTACTGAATATTAAAAAGAAATGTCTGCTAAAATTAATCGTTACCTAAAGCCTTTACAAGCTTTTTAATATCAGTCTTCTTCTATAAAATTGGTTGTTGAAGTCTTATACTTTTCTAGCTTTCAGATACTAATTTTTTTTTTTTTTTTTTTTTTTTTTTATTAATTTTTATATTACAATCTAGTCCTAATAATATGACTAATGAGTAATTTAATTTTAACCTAATTTACTATAAAATTTATTGATAGATTATCTAAAGTGACATCTACCCCCCGTTTTAATATGTTAATAATACATACTCGTTTTTATAAATTATTTTAGTTCATAAGGTTTAGTTCTTTGTAGTCGTCGTGTTATGTTTGTGTTGTCCAATAGTTGTTGTACCTCGACGTTCACATGCCGGACAAGCCTTTCTTCATGTCTTCTTGCTCTACTTTTTATTTCTTCAGCAACAGAGTTTATTTGAAGGTCTCTTTGTAGATCTTTGACTCTAACGTACCATGGAGCATTTACTGCATTTTTTATTATTTTGTTTTGCAACCGTTGTATTATTGCAACATTACTCTTTTTGGTGCATCCCCAAAGCTGGCAACCATATGTCCAAACAGGTTTCAAAACTTGTTTGTACAATAAAAGTTTGTTTTGTACGGACAGAGGTGAGTATTTTCCAATCAACCAGTACATTTTTTTATATTTGATTTCAAGCTCTTCCTTTTTCTTTTTTACGTGCGCTTTCCATCTTAATTTTGTATCTAAAGTGAAACCAAGATATTTTGCAGTATTTGCGTAAGGAATTGCTTCCATATTAATATATACTGGTCTATATACTATTTTTTTGTTCGTAAAAATTATGTGCACAGACTTAGATTCGTTCAGTTTTATTTTCCATTTTTTTGTCCAGGCCTGAATTTTATCCAGTGATGTTTGCAACATCATTGCTGATTCTTCACAATTTTTAGCAACAGCCATGACAGCAGTGTCATCCGCAAATGTTCCAATTGTACCATTTTCTAATTCTGGTATATCAGAAGTATACAACAGATACAATATAGGGCCCAGGACACTTCCTTGTGGGACACCAGCCCGAATTTCTCTCAAAGTAGTATAAGAATCCTCTACTCTAACACGAAAGCACCTCTCAGTTATATATGATTCTATTATATCGGCAAATTGTTTCGGGAACATTGTTTTTAATTTCTGCATTAACCCCTCATGCCAGACTTTGTCAAATGCTTGTGAAATATCAAGGAAGACTGCTGAACAAACTTTTTTTTCCTCTAGCGTTTTTTCTATAATATCAGTAATTCTATGAACCTGCTCTATAGTGGAATGATTGCGCCGAAACCCAAACTGATGACTTGGAATGAGCTTTTTGTTTTCGATAATTACTGTCAATCTCCTAAGCAGAATTTTTTCAAAAAGCTTAGAAATCACTGGTAATAAGGAAATGGGCCTGTACGAGCCAGTTTCATTCGGTGGCTTTCCTGGTTTTAAGATCATTATAACTTCCGCAACTTTCCATAATTTCGGGACATATTTTAATCGGAAAGCAGCATTTATTATTTTGGTAAGTTTCAATAAAGCGTGTTTTGGAAGTCTTTTGAGAATTTCACCAGTTATCAAATCAAACCCTGGAGCTTTCTTATCTTTTATGTGTTTTTTTATTTCATTTTTTAGCTCTTTCAATGTTGTTGGTTTAATTCTAAACTCTTCTTCTGTGGGTTCATAATTTGTTACAATTTCCGTTTCTGACTCATGTGGTGTAAAGGTGTTTTCGAGATGCTCAGCAAACAGATTAGCTTTTTCATCATTGGTTTTGGCCCATTTTCTGTCAATCATTCTTAGGGGATGGTTTTGTACGGTTGGTCTGTTAAATTTTTTTGATGCTTTCCATAGTGAATATTCTGTATCCTTGTTACCAGTCAACGAATTTAAGTAATTATTGAAAGAGTCATTTTTTTGTTGCTTTATTAGTCTTCTTAAACGCTGTGTTAAATTATTTAATATATTTTTATCTTGGGGATGTCTCGTTTGGTGCCACTTTTTCCTGGATTTTCGCTTTTCAGAAAGTAATTTTCTTATTTCTATCGAGTAGTTATTTCTTTTGAGAATTTTTTTTACCTCCGGTGTACTTTCCCATGCTGCATTCTGTATTTGCTTAATGAACTCGTTTAATTCACTATCCAGTTCTTCCCTGGAGTCAAGGGGAGAATTAAGGTCAATTTTTTCGTCTAAATATGAGCTAAAATATGACCAATCTGTGCATTTACTGCAAAGCACCGGTTTAGCGTTTGTTTGTATGATATTTTCGCTCAATGTAAGTAAGATGGGAGAATGATCGGATCCCATTTCTTGACTTTCTTCTACCTGTAAAAAATTTTTGGATACATTTTTCACCACAAAGAAATCCACCAGGTCTGGTATTTTACATGGATCTGTCGGCCAATATGTTGGCTTTCCTGTAGACATGGTTTCACACCCGCCCTCTTTTACTGCAGATAATAGATTTTTTCCTTTAGGAGTTGTAAGTCGAGATCCCCAGTGCGTATTTTTGGCATTATAATCTCCTCCTATAATAAACCTTGGCCCCATGTCTTTTAACAGCTCAGTGTATTGTTCTTTTTTTATCTTATGTCTTGGCGGGCAGTATATACTAGCTATTTTAATGTAGCTGTTTTTCGTTGTTATTTTAACAGCGCTTACTTGCATTTCATCTGTTTCTATTTTTATATCTGGGTCGTGCTTTATGGACTTTTTTATGATAACTGAACTTCCACCTCTAGCAGTATTATTTGGATGGATAGCGTCATATACTTCATAATTTTCGAATTTTGTTGTAATTTGTTTGGTGAAGTGTGTTTCTGATATTAAACATATATCTATTTTATTTATGTCAAGAACTGCTTGCATTTCTTGTTGGTGTTGGAGCAGTCCATTGGCATTCCAGGCCAATATTTTGATTGTATTAGCCATTATTGATCTGATATTTAACAGCTTTTTTGGTGCTGCCTTCTAATGCTTTCAAACGGACTTCCATAGAGTTGAGTGAATTTTCCATGTTTGTCATTTTTTCTAATATTAAATCGATTGGATTAATACCCGTTTCATTTTCGAAATTCTTTTTATTGCTCGTAAG